ATACCAAAACTAATCGTAGCACATATAATACTTATTAAACCATTCATCCAATCATTTTGAATTTGTATTCGTTTTTCATTTGTTATACCAGCATGATATGCTTTAACAGAACCATATTTACCTGTTTGTGTTAATTTATTAGATAAATCTGAACATGAATCACGTGTACGACAATAAATTATTCCACTTATTGATTGCATCTAATTATACAAAATGAACAAAAAAAATAAAAATTACATGAATATTTAATAATAATAAAAAATTATACATTAGTGCTGATTTTTTTTGTTTCATCAATAAATTGACATAAATTTATAAAAGGATCATCAAGTAATTCTTTGAATTGTATATCATAAAAGAGATTCGGACGAAACACAGATGATTTAAATTCGAGTATAGGTTGTCGTAAATGTAATGAACTATATATATACATACAAAAAAACAAAAAACAAAAATGAATAATCATAAAAATTAACAATACAATAAAAAAAAACCTATAAATATCATCAATCACTTGTTTAGATGCTGTAGCTGTTACAGCAATACATGGAACATTATTTAATTCATCATGTAATGTACCTAATTTTAAATAATCTGGTCGATAATCATGACCCCATTGACTAACACAATGTGCTATGAAAAGACAAAAAATAATCAGACGTTTGTTTTTTTTTCTTTAATTACCTTCATCAATAATGAGATAATTAATCAATTTTCGTTGATGAACTCTTTTTATAATCGATAAAAAACCTTTTAAAAAATAATTTTCTTTTTAATTTTTTGTATTTTGAAAGAAAATTTTTTATTTACTTTGAGTAGCAGCAAGTTCTGGTGTTATATACAATAATCGAGTTGTTGGTTGTCGTTGCATAAGATCTCCAAGTACAATTTTTTTTTCTTGTTGACTCAATGTTGAATTAAGTGTACGTGCTACAATTTGTTTATCATTTAATGCTTTTACTTGATCTTGTATAAGTGCAAGTAATGGAGATATAACAAGTGAAAGACCATCTTCTTTGTATACAGCAGGAAATTGATAGCACAATGATCTATTACATATTATTATTATTATTATTATTATGAAATTTTAAAAGATTTTCTCAAAAATAAAAAATATTTGAAAATAACTATTTAATATATCATTTGTTTATTTAGTTTATAATATGTATAAGGTAACAAATAAAAGTGTTACTCTGATTTTAGTTAAACTTTTCGAAGATTTCGATTTCTCTCATACACTAAAAATTAGAATAAAATAGTGTAATCTGTAGAAAAGATACTAATTGTAGAAAATGTTCAGTTAAAATATAAATTAATATTGAATGTTCGATGAAATCGAATTAAGATAATTTCTAATGCTATGAAAATATTACATACTTTCCGGCACCAGTCGGAAATGATATGAACACGTCACTATGTCCTATTGCAAAAAATAAAACAACAATCAAATATATTATTTTATTTTTATTAAAATAAAAATATACAAACCATTAATAATTGATAAAACGGCTTTTTCTTGAATATCAGATCGGAATTTTTCGAAGCCAAATTTTTTTAAACATTCTTTTACTTTTGTTTCTGTTGCCATTGATTATTCATCTCATATTTTATATAAATCTAGTATAAATAAATCAAAAAGAATTTATTCAATAGAAATTTATCTAATAAAGTTTAGAAGCTATATCACGTGATTTCACACTATGATGCAATATTATTGCTTTTTTTTTTTAATAAAACAATTATTTATTGAACATTAACAAAAATAAATCAAAAAAGAAAAAATGTTAAATAGTCAACTAAAGAATAAGTCATTATATACAGATATGAAAGACTTTTCTTGTCGACTACGTAACAAATTTTGTTTTTTGTTATTTTTCATTCAAACCTAAACGGTCATCGGTTTTATCGAATCAGAACCTTTTTATAAACCAAATAGCACCATCTATTTATAAATATGAGTCATTTATTTCATGCAATAACACATCCAATTGGTTTGAACAAAAGAAAGATGTCATGATATTTCTGTGAATACATAGAAAAATGTAATAAAGCAACGGGTATAACAGGTGTATTTAATATAAAATCGATCTTGTTATTCAAGACAAAAAAACATTAATGAATTGTTGACATGATAATTGTGTAATACAATTGTCGGTTATTTCGATTATGCATGTGATTTATTTACTTTCTATAAAATACGACAAATGATTTTGATTTGTAACTCGTTTGTACAGGATCGAGCTTGCTTTTGTACTCGGAGTAGAATTGGAACAGATGGAGGATTTTTCTATACTGATATCAGTCGGTACATCAGCATGAGTCATTTTTCGTTATTCTCACTATATAACAATCATATTTACCTTTGAATCACTACAAAAATGACGTAAAGCTTTTGTTTCGCTATTATAATGCATCTGTCAAATATAATCGCTAATGTGTGTCTAAGTATATAATAAGAAATTGAACCCATCTACTCCAAAGACCTCAACAAACGTGCCAATGTTCTTTTAACCTACTGAGAGATTATAACGACCTTGCAGATTTCTCTCAATGGTTAACGTAGTTTCATCATGTTTGATATTTTAATGCCATAGGGATTGTACCGAACGCTTTTTTCTTTGTTATTCATTTCTATAAGTCTTCTCTTTCTTTGCATCTATCAATGAACAGAACATTTCATAGGACTACAAATTCTATATTACCTTTGTACACTAATTAAATGTTTGTCATGCCCAGAAATTATGAATGATCTGTATATTTACTCTGCATCTCTCAATAGATTTATTTTGTTATCACTTATCTCTCTGCGGGAGATATGGTAGGAAAAATACGAAATAAAAATAAATATATGATGAATTACAAGGACAAATAATAATTGCATTTTGTTTCGATAATATAACTTAATAAAATATATTAAATGTATTTTGACACATATTCACTTAATAGAAATATTCTAATGAATCATTGACACCAGTAAAAATGGTTTAATTTGCAAATACTCGAAAAAAAAAGATCTATACCAATCGTTTATTGTTTTAGAATTGCACTCATCGAATGAATGTCGGAAATCTATCCAGCAGGTTCTAGTAGAATATTAATGTTAATGAATGTCAAAATTTCTTCTTTCTGACAGATCGTGACTGGTATTTAGTAATCTCCAAAATACTATTCTATTACTTTTATCGTGATATGAGTAGTCTCTTCATTTATATGTATCAGAACAAGACAGTATGAATTACAAATCTTATAAAAAAAATTTTTCGATAAATATATTTAATAATTTCATACGTACTACATAAAAGAAATATTACAATAGAAAATTAAAAACAATTCAATTTAAGAATAATTAGTTGGAAAATGAAAATCTAATTTAAAAATTTAGAAGAAGTTTTATTGTTTTTTTATATCTGTAGAATTCACTATATACTTGTATCTATCACTGTCATCTAGAAATAAAATAATCAAGAAATGAAAATAGTATAATAAATTAAAAAAACAACTGTCAGTTCAGGAAGAAAAATTAAATTGAACATAAAAGAACTATCCTTGACAAAGAAGATGATAACCAAGATAAAATATCAGGATTGATAGAATGAGCTTCAGTCGGTGCGAACTACACAAAGAAAACAAAGTTAAACAATTGTAGTCTTTATTTCTTCTATGAAGATTGCTTCATCGATAACAATTAATGGGTTTAAAATGATATACGCTACTTTCAGATCTACACGATTGAAATAGCTCTATCGATCTTCTACTATACGCTTTTATCTATGAAAGTTTGTAATAGATAAAGAAAGATTAAAGCCTTCTTATCTATAGTAAAGGAAATTAAAGATAAACAATAATATTTAGATTTGTGTTCTAAGTAAACAATGAATTCCAATCGGTACATAGATCTAGAAACTAGTTCTTATATATTTTCTTTTGGACTTATTATGTTACAGAATTCTGGTCTATTAGTGAAATTCATCGTGATTTTCTATTATTTATCAATAATAGCCAGAAAAGTAAATTTCATACCAATGACTACTTATTTAGTGAAAAGATTATTTAACTCAGCTAGGTTGACATGTATTCAAAAACGAATCTGTTGATTACCAAGTTACATTGATAATATATTATTTTTTTCGTTGTCCATCTGTTTATGTTGATTACACATTTTGAATCATATATCTGTTATGTTTGTTTTGTTCATTTTATTTCTGCGGGAAAACTTATGATAAGATTTATTAACATGATTATATTGTAAATGATTTTTGATATAAATAGTATGTCTATAATATTTGACTTCATATCGCATATATAGATAAAATTATTATTCTTATAAAAAATTCAATGAAAAGATAATTATGTAAAACAAGATGATTGAATGATAATATCCTGCAGAATGCAGGACAAGACGGATAAAACCATCCTGTGATGTTCTCTGTTATGTTTAATAAATTAATGAATCGATGTAACCTCTAATATTTGATCTGACATCATTCAATGGTCGAGCTAAGATTGTTCGATATTATCATAAGAGTTTTCAAAGTTTCTTATATTCTCATTCATTAATCTTAGGAGATGAATAATGCCACATTCTTATTTAACTTATTTGGAGCAGGTATTGTTTTTGTTCTATTTTTCGGATAAAATCATGTTGCGACACCTTTATATTGTTATACTGGTTGCCACAGTAAACTACCAATCCAGGTTTTTTTTTCCTGTTGGGATATTTACATAAATAATTCTCTTCTATTATAATCATAATAGAATTCAAATAAAATAAGTTTATTTTCTTATTGTTTACATCTGTCAGTCATACTAACCAATGAAAATTTTAGATTATTCTCAATGATTCATTCATATAAATAGGTCAGAAATAGATGAATATTGATCAAATTCAAGTATAAATCAAATTAGATATTTGGTTATGTATTTATAAATAATATGAAAAGAAAAAATTATTTTTTCTTGTCATCATAAAAATACAAAAAAAAAAAACGAGAAACTATCATATGTCTATAGAATCCATAAGAACTAAATCAACAATTCCAATAAATCGAGAGAAAATGGTTCTTAATACTTCGGATGATCCTGAATTATTATCTTCAACAATGAATGAAGATAGTCATACACCATTATCAGAAACAGTAACTACATTAGCTAGTAATGTTTATAAAGAATTAGAGCGTATTATTAAAAAGTTTGGTGAAAATAGTGTTAAAGATTTAATGCCTGTTATGATTTCAACATTAGGTATCAAAAAATAAAAATTTTTTTTTTTTTTTTTTTTTTTTTCTTATATAAGATTTTCTTTTTTTCTTAGAATCACTTGATAGTGCATTACATGAACGTGAAGTAAATAAACTTGAAATTGAATCATTAAAAGAACAAACTGAACAATTATTTCAACAATATGAACGTGAAAAAAGTTTTCATAAAGAATATCAACAGGTTTTTGTTTTATTTTCTATTAAAATTTAATGATTAATGTTTATTTTTTTTGTTTTTTTGAAGCGTTATCTTCAAGTTGAAGATCATCTTGAAGAAATAAAACGTGAAAATGAAGAAAAATTACGAAGTCTTGAATCAATTGTAAAAATTTTTGAAATTAAAACACGTAATGCATCGGATCATATTGGAAGATTAGAAGATAAAGAAAATGAAATGAAACAAGAATATAAACGTTTACATGATCGATATTGTGAAGTAATAAAAAATTCATTTTTTTTTTTTTTGTATAGTTAATATTATTATTCATTTTCTATATATATATAGTTATTCAAAGTTCATTGTGATTATATGGAACGAACAAAAATTTTATATGGAACTGATCGATTAGATCAATCAGCTACTAATACAAATTCTCAATCTCGGTTAGTTTTCAGAAAACATATGACTAATCTTAAGTATTGAATTGAATATTACACTAAGTAATAATATCTAAGTTTATGAATGCAATAGCCTGTTAACCAAAAAAAGGACACATCTATTTTATATATTATTCTATGAATAAAGAGAAAGATTAATTTATAAAGTGTATTTTTTAAAAATTTGTGACTTATAAATTCTTGAATATTGATAAAGTATGAAGATATGTTTTTTTTCATGTAATTTGCATTATATAAAAAAAAAATCGTTAGTGTATTATTTATAGAAAGAATGAACTTGCGATGTAGGTTAAACAACAACGTTCGAGATCGATTTGGTATAAATAAGAATAGGTTGAAAGTTTCTCATTAAAATATTTGACTATTTTTCACATATTTAAATGCATTAGAATCAGAATTTTGTATTCTTTCAGAATATATGTTTAGAATTTTTCTGTGACATTTGACTATTTACTTATAAATCCTGATAGAACTCAAAAAAAAAGTTTCAGACTTTATAGAAGCTTTAAAATGTACTTCAACAATTTGAAAAATAAATTACAATTTTGTGAAATGCCAGGAACAAGTTCTATTTGAAGTTTTTTTTTTCTCTGAAAAGAATCTTAGAGTGTCTTCAAGATTCATGTATAACTCAAAAAGTACATATATTCTGATTCGAATACAATACCAATGTAATTAAATACGCGAAAAATAGTTGAATATTTTGTCAAGAAACTTTTCGACATATTGGTAGTTGAAGTCAATTTATTGTTTATTTTAACTTAAAAAGATATATGAATTATTAAATTGTTTTATTCGATTTTAACATGTAGTTTCACAATCGAAAGTTCTACTACTTAACATTCTCAGTCGTATAGTCTCTTTTTTTCCAGTTGTTATTTTTTATTCTATGACATGACATAGAATATAAAATGAAAGATCAAGAATATATTATAATTAGAAAACTGTCTGCCGAGCATAGATAATCTAGTTGATTTGGATCCGAATATGATCTATGCAATATTTTTATGTTAAAAATTAGATTATCTAGTGGAAAAATAGATATTTTCTATAAAAATAAATATTTTCTTCCTAATAAACCCGTTTATTGGAGTCTACTTTCGTTTCCTTGTAATTTTCTTTTCTAATAATTATTAAATTATTTATCGTTCATATCAACATATTACATATTTTTATTTAATCAATCATCATATATAACACAAATAAATAAATGTCGTTATGTAAACAATTTTGTCCTAAAATAAAATTAAAAATAGTACATTTATTTTCAATAAATATTTTAATTACCAAAAACAGAACTTTTCAAATTAGGAATAGCAGTGAAGCAGAACACTGAAGCCCTTCTTGTGTTGGAAGCACAGTGATAGATGGCGTCCTCTCTACGTGCATCGTATTATCAAGAATACACAGTGATAATAGAGTAATCGCACTTTTCACTACGCTTCACAGAACAAGAGAAGAGTTAATGTTCTAGTTTTATCATTAGCTACTCTACTGGTAATTTGTATCCTGGATGATACAACACACGTAGCAAGGGCATCAATGCTCCTCTAAAACAAGAGGGACACTAGTGTTCTGGCTCTGCCGCTAATTAGAGGTGCACTGGGTCTAGACGTTGCCAAAAGCGTATTGCAAGAAAATAACTGAATTTTAGAAAACATGATTAAATAATGAGAACTAACGAGGAAACATTGTCAGATAATCCACTAGCGTAACCTCCAAATGTTTTCTGCTTTTGCTTAGATTTAGTCGAAATAGCAACTTTTTAGTAGATTTCTCCTACAGGGGTCTAGTTTTCTGAAAAAAATTGTTTCGAAATTTCAACCTGAAATTTTGTACGCATGAAAGTCTCTATTAGATTATCTCATATACAAAGTTTCATCAATTTTGGATATCGTATTTCTAAGATATGGATGTCTTAATATACAGACGATTTTCTTTAAGTACAGTTTGAGATAGTCTAATCGAGACTTTCATGCGAACATAATTTCAGATTGAAATTCTGAAATATAATTTTTTTCGAAAACTAGACTCTAACAGGATGATTCTACTAAAAAAGTCGCTATCCCGATCAGATCTAAGAAGGAAGAGAAAACCTTTAGAGGTTACGCTACTCTAGTGATCTTCTATATATTGGTAAAATATGGAGGCAACCGAAGTGGATCACTTCTGAATATGCTCTTGTAAATCCTTCTCCAACGAAAAAAATCGAAATCAATCCAAGATTATCACAGTTTTATCATGCATTCACCGATTAGTCTAAACGTACATTTTTAGATCAGTAAAAAGCTGTACGAACGAAAGAATTTTATATCGTTTTTTAAATATTTCTATTTACTATATTAATAGTGGAAATCTTCAATTATCATCAACCTCTCAAGTATCAAATGAAAAACAAACCGATAAAATGGCTTCTCATGATTCAGATATTTCTCTTATGTAAATTTTAATTTATTTTTTCATTTACAAAGAAATTATTTTCATATTTAAGATTATTAAAGCAACGTCATATTGACAGTAATTTTCGACCTGAACTTGAAATTGTTGATGCTAAACATACACAAACAGAATCTATGACAAGTAATGATGCAGCTGTAAATACTGGTAAATTTTTGTAGTTGTTTTCTTTATTTTAATAAAAAACTAAAAATGGGAAAAATTAATTTTTTATAATAATTTGAAAAAGAATTGATTTCATTATTGTAAGTAAATTATATTTTTCGATAGAATATTTGATAATTCCTCTTAATCCATGATATTTGTAATACATATCAATAATTTTTTCAGCTAAATTGGCAAAAATTTCAATGATGGATGAAATATCTTTAAAAGATTTTACATCAGGTGCGATAGTTATTGATTGTAAAATTGATGTTGTCTATTTGTTCAGTTATTGTTGAGATGAGAGAAGAAAAAAAAAGAGAAAGAAGATCATTATTATTTTATTATCTAGACCATGAAAAGAATTATCTTGAAAAATATAAACGTGGTAAGAAATGTTCAATATTCAATGAGCATGTACTTACATATACTCATGCTTTTTTTTTTTCACTAAACATTGCATGAGTATAATATACAAAAACATTGAGGCTTTTGTCCTTTCCCAATTAAACTAAATATAAGAAAATGATAACTATGTCTATGCTTTGCTTTTGTATTGTATTTTTTATTTGTAATGTATGTCTATGTTGCATGCTTCATAGGAATATTCATGAAATTACGAAATCTCAATCTTTTACCGAAACCATTTGATGAACAACAATTTTTCGTAACTGAAGATGAATTTGAACAGACAAATAATAGTACAGGTGATCTGTTTAATAAAACGATATATACATTCTTTTATATAAAAATTACACATAACGAATTTATTAATATTATTTTTAATTAGATATTGCTGTTAGTGATGATGATGATGATGATGATGATATATCTGTGGATGATACGTAAGTTGAAGATTTTCGTTTAGAATAAATATGAACTTTTATTTTTATAGTAAAAATTTGGAAGCTTTTGATAAAGAAACACGCAATGATAATATTGATATATCAGATGTTGATGCATCGGCTGATTTATTTGGTAAGTTAAGAATAAATTTTCAAAGTAATAATCTACAAAATTTTCCATCTTATAGTTCGACAAAGTTTTTACGGTGAGAATCTATATTGTAGAATTGGAGCATCAGAATTTTCTTTGCTTTTATATTAATATTATTTTCTAGTTTTTTTTTTTTTATACAAAATTATTTTCTCATAATTTATAGGCATGACAAAGGAAGTTTCAAATTTAATCAAAGAAAATAATGAACTTTTAGAAACAAAGTATTTAACAAAAGGATATAATATGAATAATAAAGATTTTGTTTCTTTTTTTTGTTATGATTAGAAATGCATTAAATGTACTTAAAGATGATTTATTAGTAAAAATCGAAGAATTATCTAAGTGAGTAAAAAAAAACAAAAGATTTGTTTTATTAGAAGAAACTATATATATATATCTTATATAATATTAGTGAATTAGAAATAGCTCGAGAAGAAGTTGATTCATTACAAACAGTTCGAAGTCGATTACAATCAAGGTTAAAAACTGAAATATTTTTTTTTCTACCTATTAAGACAAAAAAAATAAATTCTAATTTAAAATTATTAGAATTACTGAAATTGATGAAGAACTTCGAAAAACACGTGAAGAACTTGAAAAGAAAAAAGAAGAAGAGGTAAGTTAATTTAAGAGAAGGTAATAATAATACCATCTTACTGCATGCAAATACTATATAATATAGAATATTGATATGTAAGTTAACAAAAAAAGAATTCGATTTTTATTTGATAAATTAATGATTAATGCTTTTGCTTATTATTATAACTTTCAATAGTAATGCATGTTTTGATTTTTATTAATTAAATTTTCTCAGGAAAATGTACCGACCGAAGATAGAAAACGTTTTACACGAGTCGAAATGCAACGTGTTCTACTTGAACGTAATCAATATAAACAACGTTTATTTGAACTTGAAGAAGCTATACATCGACAGGATGCTTTACGGGCATCACGATATGAACAATTATATCCATCATCAACAATAAATACAAATAATGATAATCTATTTGATCAAATACAAAACAAAAATAGACCAATGTTCTTAAAACTGTGAGTCAACAAAATAAATGTTGTAATTAGTATAGATAGAGAGAGAAAAAAAAATATAATTTATTTTGTATGAATCCTAAATTTGTTTGTTCTTTTTTTTGCTATTATACAAAACAATTTATATTCTATCGATCTGTTCGGTACATTTTTCATTTTATTTAATTACTTATATAGCTAACTACTAATCAATGCATGAAATTGTTTGGGCATATAATAATAACAAACAAAAAACTTACATACATTTTTCTTTATAGAAATCTCTATTGATAAGCAAAGGGGCACACACAATAATACATGAACAGCAAACAGTACAAGAAAATTCTTCATCAACATCAATAACAAATTCTTCAGAAACTACATCTACATCGAAATCTTTGTGGCGTATGTTCAGTGAAGACTGGCTACCCACATCGATTGTACCTTCAAATATATTAGGTGTACCTGTTGTCGATATTCAGAGTGATTTGAGAGAGGGTACAACACAAATTTCTGAGTTGTAAGAATAAAACAAAAAACAAAAAAATAATAAACTTAATTTTTATTTAAATTAAATATTTTAATATGTTTTTTGTTTTCTTTTCTATTTGTTAGTTTTTCGGGTTTATTTGGTAGTACTGCCAAAGATGTCTCACCTAAACGTGCAATTACAACAACTACTACAACCAATTTATCATCATCAACTGGAACTTTATTGAAACATAGTCCAATAAATGATAATCAAATTGAATCGGCACGTACTACAAACAAAAATCATCCATCAGAACGACCGATTAATGAAAGGTTCGAGAAAAAAACAGCTTACGAACGAATTTCTTTAATTGATTAATCGCTTTTGAATTGAGACTAATGCTTATTTTTATTCGCATACGGACACGTTTTTATGAGACTAGTTTATTGTGAAAGTTTCAGATCTTTTTCATTGTTCCTATCATAAGGTATGACTATGGTAAAAATGTGTCAAGTCAGAAATTTTAAAAAAAATCAAATATTTATTTTTAAGTCATGACGATGGCTCAGTCGATCGGTTTAGAACTCTATCAGTGCCCACATGATGTACATAGTCTTGATTCCAAAACGATTAATCAGTTGGAGATCTACTCTCGTTAATATTTTATCGTTTTAAATTTCGTAGTGTTGTTATTGATCCAGTACAAAAGTCCTCATCAACACGTCAAGATAATTCAATTTTAACAGATGATGATAATCGTTTTCAAGCATATGGTTGGATTTTATCATCAAAAAATCATTTGAAATCATCTAATATTAATGGTAAAGTTCAAGTTAATGTTCCTATACCAATTTATAATCAACCGATATTTAATACAAATGATATAACACAAGTAAAAAAACAAAATTCATATTAATTAAAACAATTGTAAATAATTTCTAATTTCAAAGATTTGGTGTGCTACTGGTAT